CTTGGTCAGGCTGGTCTCGAACTCCTGACCTTGAGCGATCCACCCGCCTCGGCCTCCCAGAGTGCTAGGATTACAGGCGTGAGCCACCACGCCCAGCCCCGAAGCATGTGTTCTTATTTTATTAAACACATGGGAGAAAAAGGCTCGGAGAGAATGGAGTGATTCATCCCAGGTCTGAAGCAAGTGAGAGCCGGGGCAGAGAAGGGGAGCCTGGTTTCAGACAGTAGTCACTGAGTACGAGCTGTCCCTTTAAACGAATACAGCTTGAATGGCTATGTCCCTAAATAGCTCAGGAGAGGATCCCTGTCTTCCTGAAAAGATGGGGATGTCCTGGAGAGCCTCGGTCCCAGCTGTGCAGCAGCACATTTTGCACATCGCTCTCCGCCTGTGCACGCCTTCCCTCTGCTCACCCCCTCTTTTTTTGCAAGTCTGGGAATCGGACTTGCATCACTGCATCCAGAACCCCCTGTTCCCCCTAACAGTACCGCTGAGGGGCGTTGGAAAGCCTGGGGCTTTAGACAGATGCCCTGGAGCCCCAGGTCTGATAAGTAACAAGTCCTTTAACCTCGCCATGCCTCAGTTCCCTTCTCTAAAAAAGGGGGCTAATAATTCCTTCCTGGCCAATGTCAGAAGGTGAGGCCTAAATGAAACAAGAGATGTAAACTCTATTGTGAGATTTAAAATGCTGTAATTAATGACCTCATTCCGTCCTCTGGTTACTTATGCAGAACTTACCCTCCATCCTTCTTAGCCAATTCATAACTATTCTTCAAGGACCGTTTTCTCAAAGGCATCCTCATTTATTCCAGTACATACTGCCCAGTCCTCTTTTCATAGTGGTGGCTTCCAAACCTGTATGAGCATTAGCCTCTCTACAGAAATCATAAAAGTGCTAATAATATTTGGAAACACCACATGCTCAATCCTTCCTATGGATTATCTCATTTAATTCTCCCAAGAACCTGGGGAGACAGAGACTATTATTTTTCGTGTTCTATAAGGAAACTGAAACTCAGAAAGGTTGATTAACTTGTCTGAGGTCACGCAGCAGGTAGATAGCAGAGCTGGGACTCTATTCTAGGCAATTTGACTTCACAGTTCACACTCTGAGCCACTACACTTTGTAGCCTCACCATTCTGATTCAGTAGGCCTGATGCGGGGCCCAGGCAGCTTTATTTTTAACAAGCTCCCTGGGTGATTCTGATGTTCCACAATTGGGCAATTGCTGCTCTCAAGTGTTCGCACTCTGTTCCAGCCATTAGTACTTAGTGGTTAAGTAATGGTTCCCCGTGTGTGCTCCCTGCCCTAACGAGCTGGCCTCCTCTAGGCAGGGGCTCCTCTTACATGTCCCTCAGCATGGAGCATGGGACTATTTGTGGAATTTACCTCTTGTTAATTTGGAGAAAGCAGAAATCGCCTAGGTCGCTGGGTTGGGAGGCAAACTAAGATCTATTACTCATTCGTGTGCATTTTGTCCCCCCCGGCCTCTTATCTCTGGTACCCTTTGGGATGGGGTGCGGAAGTTATTACCAAAGCTGTTTGCCAATCTGGCTCTTCTGGCCTTGTCTCCTCAGGATGGAAGTTTGCAGTGTCCCACCTGTAAGACCATTTATGGGGTGAAGACAGGCACCCAGCCCCCAGGGAAGATGGAGTACCATCTCATCCCCCATTCTTTGCCTGGCCACCCAGACTGCAAAACCATCCGGATCATCTACAGCATCCCCCCTGGCATTCAGGTGAGCTCACCCCTCGCTGTTGGTTTTAATTGCTTTAGATGTTTGCAGGTAAAATCTTTTACTATGAACAGTCTCCTTCCCACCCTTGTCCCCACCTGCCCGGCCTCACCCCCAGTAACCACCCTCCCCCTGCACCACGATTATTCTTACTTTGTTATGTGTCCTTCCAGGGTCCTTTGTGCATATGTAACAGATTACATCCACCCCTCCTATTTCTGCACAAAGAGTGACATTTTAGCCACATTGTTCTGCACCGTGCGTTTTGCAATTAACAATATAGTCTACAGGCCTTTCCAGGTCAGTACAGAGAGAGCTTCCTTATTCTTATGTCTATGTAACAATCCATTGTATAAATGTCCCACAGTTTATATTTAGTAGTCACCATTTAATGGACATATGGATTGTTTCCAGTCTTTTGCTACAACAAATAATGGTATAATGAATAACTTGTACACATGTGACTGTATCTGTAGAAGAATTTTCTAGAAGCAGAATTTCTTTGTCAAATGGTATTTGCATTTGTAATTTGATAGCCATGCTTGGTTTTGATTTTTGTGGGCATTTATTTCCTCTTTCAATTCTTTAAAAGACACTCCTAAGGAAAAATCCGAACAATATTCCTGATAGTAACTATAAATGCGGCCCTTCCTTCACACAATGAAGCTTTTCCCAAATGTTCCAGGGTGCTTACTGAGTTGATTTTTTAGTAAATACTTACTAGTTCACCCTCTTTTCCTTTCTCTTGTTTGTCTTCTTCCATCTTGTCTTTTGTTTAACAAACATATGAGTGTGGATTGTGGTCCAGGCATGGTCTAGGTGCCAGAGGAACAATGAACCAAACAAACTGAGTCTTTGTTCCCTGAAGCCTCCATTCTCGTGGGGTCAGGCAGGCAATCAAGTAAACAAATAAATAAATGAGGTCCTTCCAATTAGCGACAAGTGGCGTGTAGGAAATAAGACAGGAGGGTGTGGTAGCCTGTAAAAGAACTGAATGAAACACCACTCTTCCAGGAGGGACCCACCAACCAGTCAGGGAAAGATGAATAAGCATCACTAATAAGAGCCATGAGACGCGGTGTAGACAAAGCGAAAACAAAAGGCCGTCAAAGTCAGGTGGACCTGGGTTCTGATTCCTGGCTTATTAGCTGGTGACTTTGGACCGCCGCTTGACCTTTCTGAGCTTGGTTTCTTCACCTGTGCAGCCAGGAAGCTGGCATGCAGGGGTTCTGTGAGATCAGGAGATAACGTTCGCCTGTGCGTATCGGGCCACTGGGCACAGAACCAAGGCCCTCGGCACCCGGTTGCCGTCATTTGAGGGTCCTGTTTATGGTGAGGAGGAGGGTGTGTGTCTGTCTGACTGGGAGGGTCCGAGGAGACCCTCTGGTGTGGGGCATTTCCTAGTTCAGTCTTGAAAGACACAAAGAAATGGAGAAGAGGCTGTTTAGGTGGAGGATGTACGGAGTAGTAGAGGAGAGAGAGTGGAGCATTGAAGGGCAAGCAGGAAGGATTTAATCTGGGGCCTGAGACTTGCAGAGGAGCTGGAGGGAAGGGGCACGAAGAAGAGTTAGAGGACTAGGTGGTGAGGGAGGTTGTGGCCAGGTCCCGGAAGGCCTTGAACGCCAGGGCGGGGGTCGTGGGCTTTCCTCATCAGGCTGCAGGGACTCCCTAACAGTTGCTGGGCGTGCGACTGGGATTATGCTTCAGGAAGGCCAGACTGGCAGGAGAGTAGGGGATGGCTGGAGGAAGGGAGACCCCTGCAGAAGTTCAGGCTCCAGTACCGGGGCCTGAACAAGGGACCGGCCAGGGTGAGGCAAGTGAGATGTGGTTGGATGTGGGGTTAGGTGAGGCTTCTGGAGTGATTCTGAGGCAGCCAGTCAGGGAGAGAGGGACATAAATGAAAATACAGGCATCAAGAAACAGCCAGGAAGTAGAACAGACTGAAGGGAGCAAAGATCAGGGTGGGGCAGCCATCCCCTGCAGGATTAAAGAGCGGAGAGCCTGACCAGGGCACAGAGGAGGCCACAGGAAGCCTTGACAGATGCTCCGGCTCCTCCAAGAAAGCCCAAGCTCGTGTCAAGGGAAATGCAGCTTTCCCTGGTCAGCGCAGCCCTCCACAGACTCACCCCTGAGGGCCATCAGCAGGACGTGCAGTGCCATGTCTCCCTCAGGACACCAGGGACCACGCAGGCACCGGCCTCCGCGAAGAGTTGAAAGTCGAGCCCTTCCACTGGCTGGGTCGCTGCCAGGCAGACGTCTGAGTTGGCCAGCCAAGCGGCCGTCCCAGGCAGACCAGGAGCAGTCAGAGCAGTGATTAGAACTGGCCTTTCCGTCAGGCAGCCTGACTTAGCCGTGGCCATGGGGATGGCGTATGTTTGTAGTGATTTCCTGTGAATATGAAATTCGTAACTGTCAGATCCTGCATCTCCCAGAAGACATTGTTGCTTCTTTCGGCTCACAGCGACCTTTCCCTTCTCCAAGACCCCGTTGCATTCGCTGTGCCAAATCACAGGTGCTCTCGAACTGTGCTATTAAAAAAAAGATTAAAACTGCAGAATTTTTCATCATTTTGGGAACCATTGTACATACTAAGAGAAAAAGAAAAATCTGTGTTTTCCTGCAGTTTTGTCATTCTTTCATTCTTTCATTCATTCATTCATTCACTCAGCCAGGACATATGTACTGACAGTCTGTGTGAGAGCTCGTGCCAAGACCTTCACGAAATTACCAATATCATAGGGGTTGCATCTAGAAGGGTTTTTTAACAGGGTTCCATCCCCGAGGGGGTTAGGGATGCTCAGAAATTGCAGACAAACATTTTTATACGGGGGAGGGGAATTTGTACACTGTTACTGGGAGAAAATCCATCGCTTTTCATGAGCTTCTCGAAGGGGCCTGTGGACCCATTCTGGGCTCGGATTAGGAAACCTCTTCTCACTCAGTTCTGCCGCTTTCTCCCCCGTGGCCTGACACTGCTTGCTTAATAGGGTATTGGGTGACAAGAGCTGAAGTGTTGTTAGATGTTTAGTCCTGAATATCCCAATCCGTATTATTAAATAAGAAAACAAACAAAAACCCATGAGGACAAAGGAGAAAATGCACAAGAATCATTCAGAAAATTCTGATTGTATGGCTCGTACCTTAGAGGCACTTTTGTTGTTCTGAGTAGTTAAGAGGTTAAAAAAAGCAAAAAAAAAAAAAAAAAAAAAAGGCCATAGTATGCTTCAGGAAACGTGGGCTAAGTTTTAGGAAAGCCACTCATATTATGGAAGCCATTTAACTTCTCTGCACTGCAGTTTTCCTCTTTGTAACACAATCGATGATGACGATGATGGACGATGATATTAAACACGTACTGAGCTCTTACTATGCACCGGGCACCGTGCTCACTTAACATTCATAACAGTCCCTCCAAGTAAGTATTTGCCATCACTCCTGTTAAAGAGATGGGGAAAAAAAGCCCCAAGAGAGGACTCCAGCTAAAGCAACAGAGGGTGGGAGGGTGGGGAGTGGAGAGGTAGCAGCTCTGGGTCCAAATCCAGGTCTGAGGACGTCAAGACACATGTATCAAACCACTGCTCACACTGCCTTTTGGGTCTCTTCTGTGTCTAGGCTCTATGGCTGTTATTGTCATTATTATTCAAATTAGTCACAGCCTGTATCCTCTTCTCATCAAAAATATATTGAAAAATACCCTTTGCTTTCTTTTCTGCTTTCAGGGGCCAGAACACCCGAATCCTGGGAAGAGTTTCAGCGCCCGTGGCTTCCCACGACACTGCTACCTTCCGGACAGCGAGAAAGGGAGAAAAGTAAGAGTGGAGGTTTCAGAGTAGAACCAGGGAATTGACTTTTATGTTAGGGACCAAAGTTTTGCTTCCTAAACTGCACGGACGTAAGAGAACTGGGTCTCTTTTAACACTAGATGCACACGGTAATGAAGTCTTGTTTATTAACCATAGGTAAGGGTGGATATGATTAGATTTTGTTTTTGCAGGTGGGTGGGGATGGAGCTTTTGGTTTTTCCCTCTCCAAGGTAGTATTGGCAATAATTCATCTATTTTAGGATCTTGTGTCTAGAGCTCTGCTGCTTAAAGGCTTGTCCTGGGACCAGCACCAGGGGCAACACCTAGAAGCTTGATGGAAATGCACTACTAGAACCTACTTAATTTTAATAAGATCCCTAGCTGATCTGACAATACAATAAAGATTGGGGAGCACTGTTCTGGGGCAGTGATCTTAACGTGTAGGAGATTATTTTCTTTTTTATGTACTTTTGTATTATTTGATTTTTTTCCCAAAAGGGCAGAGGGAACAATCTTTGGATTTCTGGATTGCTAGTGATTCATGATCAGTTTTCAGTGGTTCTGTGAACTCTAAAATTAGAACTAAAAATTTTATGCTTGTTTCTCCATGGATAAGACCAGAAAATCACTGGATTTTCAAAATCTTTCCTGATCTCAAAAGGAATAAGAGTCTATCTAAGGCGAGTGCTAGAGGAAATATTGGCCAAAGTGTGTTTTAGTCAGCTTTCTCTCCAAATCTCAGCAGCTTACTTTGACATGTATTTATCTGTCATGCACTTTGCATGTTGGTGTCTGTGGCTGTGTTGTTGCTGTGGGTCAATGTCGTGTGTCCGGGCTGCTATAACACAGTGTCGTAGAGACAGTACCGTAGAGTAGACTGAGTGGCTTATAAACAGCAGAAATGTATTGGTCACAGTTCTGGAGGCTGGAAGTCTAAGATCAAGGTGCTGGCAGATTCTGTGTGTGGTGAGACTGCTACCTGGTTCACAGACAGAGCCTTCTTGCTGTGTCCTCCCATGATGGAAGAGGAAAGGGGTCTCTCCGGGGCCTCTTTTATAAGGGCACTAATCCCATTCATGAGGACTCCACCCTCATGACCTAGTCACCTCCCAAAGGCCCTACCTCCTAATACCGTCCCCCTGGGGGTGAGGATTTCAATGTATGAATTTTGGGGGCATGCAAACATTCAGATCATTCTGTCCCTGTGTCTTCCCACTCTGGAACCCAGGTGGAAGGAACAGGCCTTCTCTGGTCCCTGCCCTTCCTGTGGAAGGTGGCAGAGGACCAAGAAAGAATCCAAGTGGAAGTGTGTAATCCCGTTTAGAGGTCCTGGAAGCCTGATACTTCCACTCACATTTCACAGGCCCCAAGAGGTCATGGGCAAGCCAGATGAGGGGTAGTGACCTGCCTACAGGGAGGCATCTCAGGTCTCGGGGAAAAGTGTGTGGATATGGTCTCTTCCTACAGGGAGGAAGCAGGTCGTTTGGAACAATGCTAGAACCAACCACATCTTGAAGATGTGGCAGCGCAGCGTCCCCAGATTAGGAGCCAGGACCAGCCCAACACCTGCTCGCTCAGGCACCCTGCATCTGCAGCCCAACTGCTGGCTAAGTGTTGTCACTGTGAAGTCCTGCTGCTAAAACTGGAATCCTGTTGCCAAGAGCTGCTCTTCTTCCAGGCCTCCCTCTTTATGTTAATGATATACTCAGAATCCGGGAGACCCAGATGGGTCCAATTAACCTTCCTGGACTCTCGCTTGCATCCCTGCATGCACTCAGCTCCTTGCCCCTGCACTCCCTGTCTTCCGACCACTCAGCTCCTTTTCCAATCCTGCTACCACCAACCTAGTTAACGCTTCTTTACCTTTTACCCACCACTAGGTTAGTGATCCCAAAGCACAGTTTTTAGCATCCAGCACCTTCGTTTAAGAGAAACCAGGTGAACAAACAAAAAAGAATTATTTCGATGGCTTTCCCTTTCTTCTTCACAAAGCACGGTTTTGTCAGCTTGACGTATAAAACCTGCTACGATGTAGGTTTAAACCTTCTGCCCTCACTAATTCCCCACCCTTGTCCTTTTCATCTGCTGTTCCAGGACCCGAACCTCGGGCTTCATTGCAGAGGGAGGTCTAGTGAGAGCACCAGCTTTGGAACCAGACAGCCTGAGTTTGAGTCCTCGTTTTGCCATTTACTGGCAGTGGGAACTGGCATAAAGCTTCAATTCTTTAAGTCTCAGGTTCCTGATCTATAAAATAGTGGTGATGTGATGATTTCTATCTGTGTGGACAGCATATTGGAGGAATCAAACAAAAGTACCATTTATAAAATGCCAGTGCAGTGGCAACTATCGTGATTATCCGTGCCTTGGGCTTGTATTTGTTTATTGTATCTATTTTTTTAATTTAATTTTATTTTTTTATATATTTTGTATTTTTTTCGTGTTTGTTTCTTTTTTGTTTATTGTATCTACACATCCTTCTCTATCGATATACCTCAAATCCCCCTCTTCTTTGAGACTCAGCTCAGAAGCAGCCTCCTCCATGAAATCTGTACTGATGCCCAACAGAGTAATGATTCAGACCATGGGCTGTAGGAGTTGGGCAGTCCTGAATTCAAACCCCACCCTTGCCACCAGCCACTTACTAGCTATAAGACCAAGGCTTTATCTTTTGAGTCTCTGTTCCCATTTTGTCTGCAAAAATGAGATAATGCAAGTATAGTTCTGTGTCACTTTTGATGAGGATACGTTCTGAGAAATGTGTCATTAGGCAATGCTATTGTGCAAGCATTGTAGAGTGTGCTTACACAAACCTAGGTGGCATAGCCTACTACACGCCTAGGCTATACGGTGTAGCCTATTGCTCCTAGGCTACAGACCTGTACAGCACGTGACTGTACTGAATACTGTAGGCAGTTGTAGCACAATGGTAAATATTTGTTTTTCTAAACGTAGAAAGTTTTCGTAAAAGTATGGCATAAAAAATGGTACATCTGCACAGGGCACTTACTGTGAACGGAGCTTACAGGACTGGAAGGTGCTCTGGGTGAGAAAGTGAGTGGTGAGCGAATGTGAAGGCCTCGGACATTACCGTACACTGCTGCAGACTTTACACGCACTGTGCACTTAGGCTACACTAAATTTATATAAAAATACTTTTCTTTCTTCAATAATAAATTAACCTCAGGTCACTGTAACTTTTATACTTGATAACCTTTTTAATTTTTTTAACTTTCTGACTCTTTTGTCTAATTGTAACACAGCTGAAAACACACATTGTACAGCTGTACAAAAATATTTTCTTTATATCCTTAATCTATAAGATTTTGTTAATCTTTAATTTTTTTTTTTTTACTTTTTAAACTTTTTTGTTAAAAACTAGCACACAAACGCACACGTTAGCCTAGGCCTACGCAGGGTCAGGATCTTCGATATCACTGTCTTCCATCTCCACATCTTGTCCCCCTGGAAGGTCTTCCAGGGCAATAACATCCGTATATGGAGCTGTCGTCTCCTGTGATAACAATGCCTTAGTCTGAAATACCTTCAGAAAGACCTGCCTGAGGCTGTTTTACAGGTTTTTTTTTTTTTTTTGGTAAGTAGAAGGAGTACACTCTGATGCTAAGATGTATGTTGCAGTAAATATTAGGCAATAGGAATTTTTTAACTCCATTATAATCTTATGTGACCACCATCATATAAGCAGTCTGACGTTGACTGGAACATCCTTATATGGTGCATGACTGAACTTACCTCATCTGATACTGTAACCATTATAGGACCCAATGCCTGGCACTTAGTAAGTAAACATTCAGGAAACGGTAGCTCATATTTTTAATGTGTGCTATTGTTACTACTACTGTTGTTATGATTTCCCCACCCCCAACCCATGCCATGTTTACAATAGTGCAATCCAAGACATCTTTATCAGATGCCTACTTCATGCCAGATGCTGCTCTGACCAAGGCCTGGAACAGGGCAGTTAGCATTAGTCTTGCTCAACAAGGATTATTTTTTCTTAAATTTAGCTGAATTAGAACATTTCGCAAGCCCCAACTTGTTTGTTGGGCCTTAGTTTCCTTACCTGGAAGAAGTCAAAGTGCTTCATGATGTCATTAGAGAATTATTCCACAATGTTAGCTTTGTGTAAATTAACACCACATTGAGGTGGTGGTGGGCAGAGTTTCCAAAGTTCTCAGATAAGCACCTTCGATTCCTTGATCCTATCTTTCAAAGCACATCTATTATGTGGGTAGCTAACATTTATTGAGTAGCACATTTTAGGCACCAGTATGAAAATGTTTTCCATGTAGTGCCCCAAGTCGTTCATAACCTTTAGAGGCGGATTGTACCATTGCCATTCTATAAATAAGCTCAGAGAGGTGCTACAACTTACCGACGGTCACACAGACATTCCGTGACAGAGCCAGGACTCGACCTATAGCTCCCTCACTGCAAAGCTCCTTCTCTTCCACTGGGCTGCTTGGGGCATCCTGATGCAGGGAGGAGTGTGGCCCTGCAGAGGACTCGCTGCCACCCACGGGACAGTCTGTGAGCAGCACCAAATGTCTACCTCGAGTCTCTGGCCTTTCTTCCCCCAGGTTCTGAAGCTGTTGCTAGTGGCCTGGGATCGCCGCCTCATCTTTGCCATCGGTACCTCCAGCACCACGGGCGAGTCAGACACCGTCATCTGGAATGAGGTCCACCACAAGACGGAGTTTGGCTCTAATCTCACTGGCCACGGCTACCCGGACGCCAATTACCTGGATAATGTGCTGGCCGAACTGGCTGCCCAGGGCATCTCTGAGGACAGCACTGCCCAGGAGAAGGACTGAGGCTGGAGGGGCTTTGAGGTGGGGGGGACATGGGGACTGCAGGACAGGAAGTGGGGAGTCAAGGTAGAAGTCAGTGCCATGCGTGCCTGGCTCCCACATCTCCCCTCCTGCCCTGTCTCCATCCCCCTCCCTCCCAGCCCCAGGGACGGCCAGGTTGAATAAGGGGACATCATTCATAAACCTCATCCAACACGAAGGGGCCAGGGGATGAGGGTCATCCTGGGTCTGTTCCCATGGAGTTTTTGGTGCTGGGCAGGCAAGAACCCCCTCCCCGGCCCCACCTCCCAGGTAGGGGCACAGGTGGCACACTTAGGGTATGGCCAGGGCGTTGGACACTCCATACCCTGGCCTGGTGACGCCAAGGTTGCTTGCCTCAGCTGGCTTCTTGCTGCTTCCACTTTGATTTGAGAGCGGAGTTTCCGCTCTTCTCTCCTCCGCTGGAGGCAGGGAGCTCTCACTGTGCAAGGTTGGGGGGCCAAAGGGGTGAACCGCTAAACTGCTGTGAGCTGAGACACTGGATGCCCTGGTGTAGAGTGAGGAAGTGTTTCTTGCCAAGAGGGCCAGAGAAGCAAAGGCTCTGGGAGCACATCCAGCTCTCGTCATAGTCCTGGGCTTCTCCGGGCCCTCCCTTCCTCCTCACACCTTTGACCTGTCCAAAGAGGCATCTGGTTCTCTTGTGTGGATGGATGGACTCTGGGATTCCTCTCTGGGGTGGCATCCTGTGATGCTGTTTCTAGCCCCTCTCTGATCAAACCAGAGCCTGCATCCCACTGAGCATCTGAACTGTCCTCAGGGAGAGAGGCCCATAGCCTTCTTCCCAGCCCCTCCTAGACCAGCTCAAAGATTCATGAGTTTCATCAAGTCACTGTGAGCAGAGCCTGCGGTGGGCTCTGTGCTGTCCGTGTATGTGCATGCGGGTGGGTGGCATCTCAGGGCCAGCTTGGTGGAGTGGCCCGTCGTGTCCCTGCGCCCTGTTTTACAAGATGCCAAACCCAGAATCTGCTGGGGATCAAACAGCCAGGCTGTGGTCCTTTGACTTTCCTCACCCTTTGCCAAACCATCCCTTAGGAAACTTAGACCCCGATGGAGTCAGAACTGTGCCTGGGGAGATGTGAGGAGGGGAGGGCCGGATTGACCCCTTTTTATATTTCTTTTCAAGATTGGATCAGAGCCAATCTCCATCCAGTCTTGTTTCTATGAGGGCTTCAATCTGTCTCTGTGCAGATTTGCTAATCAGAGCTCAGAGGTGACACTGGGCCTCTTATCCCCCTCATCTGTCACACGTTGACTCAGAGCACGGAGGGAGCCTCTGTAGCTCATTCCTAACGGGGTCGGGACCACACTGTGATCTGGTCCAACCTGCTCCTGGGTTGTGTCCCCAGACCCTGTCTATCTCCTCCCCAACATTCCTCTTGCCTTTGGTCCCCATTAACGAATGAATTGGGGGTCGGGGAGGAGAGAAGGGGGATCAAGAAGGGAAACCCAATTCCCCCTTTGAAAGTGGGTTCTTTGAACTATGTGTTTGGGGGAAGTTCCTCTGGATGCTAATTTGAATTTATATACCTCATGTTTTGGGGGTTGGACGTATATATATGCATATATATTTCATTATATTTGGAAGGTTTTTGATGCTAGAAAAATCGAAACGAAAGAACCTTCAAAAATGGTACTTAGGTTAGACCCGGAGGCCAAGCTTTCAGGAGAGCCGGTTCCCTAGATGCTGGCTGTTGGGCCTGCAGCCACTTTGACATTGGTGTGGCCAGTGGAGTCACCTGAGTGTCACCCAGTTCCTGGGACGTGCTGGTGCTGAGCCTTCCCTGGCTTTGCCGGTGGCTCCGGGGACGCTGGTCTTCTCCACCAGAGGGAGCTCCGAGGGGAGGAACCGCTCTGCCCTCTGAGGCCGCCGCCGCCATTGTCTCACCAGCAGACCAGGACCCTGGTCCTCAGTTCACTGCACCGCAGGGCCATTTCCTGCCACAGTTGGGAAGGAAAGACCTGAACTAAGTGGAAGAGACATCCCTGCAGTGTTTAATGCCACACCCATGCCCTCTGCCAGGTTTCCACGTACCAGAGATCACTGGAGCACCTCACCGAAGGCTTAGCACCATCCCTGCCTTGAGCACCCTCCTCAAGTACCTGCTGGGCTGCTCGGCTGCGGGGATGAGGAATGGACTGAGAGTCCATGGGTGGAAAAACGTAACGAGGCAGTAGGAGGTGGGGAAGAAAAGAAGACACGCTTTGCCAGTGTAAGGGGGCAGTGGGGAGAGATCGCTTTCCCCGCAGCAGGCAGAAAAAGGCGTAGGTGGGGCAGCGGGCACCCAAGAGCGGGAGGAAGAGCACCCAAGAGGACGACAGGGGAGCCAGCATAGCAGTGGCGACACCACTTGGAGAGGCAGTCTTCATACCTTCACGTCTTTCCCCCCAGGTTTTTAGTAGTGTCTTGGCCTCGTTTCTCTTCCACTCCGCTCAGTAGGGGCCACCTCATCCTGTGCCGTTCTTGCGGGACTCCCTGGGCAGAAGGGATCTTGAATTTCCTTTCTAACACTGCGCCTGGCAAGGCAGGGGGCATTCCTTTGCCCTTTCTCTTGTGCCAGCCTACAAAGGTACAGTCCCGGTTTCAGCGAGAACCCTGCCAGCAGAGCCCTGTGCACCCCCCACCCTGTCACAGGGTACTTTCCCACCGGAGGACCTGCTGTGCCCCCTGGCCCAGGTACGGGATCCCGTGTCTTTCCTTTCATGGTCTTTGCACCAGCAGCCTAGTTTCTCCCTTCTTGAGTCTCCAAGGATGATAAATGGGACTGGAGACAAACCTTGTCAGATGTTCACCCTTAAAAGGCTAATCGTCTATATGTGGTTGCGTGTGCCTTTGTGTTTTCATTCTCTTCCCTTTTTTGTAAAATTGGAACTTCTCTGTGGTTTTATACTTGGTGAAAAGTACTTGTCCTGGTATTGCACTGCTGTGTGCATGATCGGAATGGGGGAAGGCCCGCGTGGTACAAGACCCCTGCTTCCTTTCCTTGTCTGTGGTCACGGCATTTGAGCGGGGAGGGGTTCTGGGAGAGGGCAGGCGAATGTCCTAACCTAAACTGTTCTGTTTGTAACTGGTGTGTTTTGAAGTCCTTGGTGTTGCTCTGTGAGAGGACATCGCCACCTGGTGCTCATGAGGTGTATGTGCAGAACAATAAATGGCAAATGAACAACCACAAGTTGTTGCTGTTGTTGACCTTCTGTTTTTTGTAGATTAGGGAGCTTACATGTGAGGCATTTGGGTTACCTCCCCGAGCCTGTAAGCAACCACAAGCCCTTCCACTGGATGGGGGGAAAGTCCCTTTTCTCTGTGTGTGTGTGTGTGTGTGTGTGTGTGTGTGTGTGTTTTTTAGTTTTGACATCTTTTCCACCCACACATTTGACCTGGTTGGACTCTTTGTTCCCCTAAAGGAACAGACCACATGGCTGGGGAAATGAGTAAGTGAACTTGTGGGAGGAAAACCATCTTTAAAACCATGAATGTTCACTTCTTAAAGATCCCTTCACCTGACTACAATATAGGGTACATTTTGATGGTTCACAGGCTGCTGTTTTTCAAATGAATGTTTAGTATTAATTATCCCTGACGCTGATGGGAACACAAAAGTAAAATGCAAATGCAGAGCCACCTTTGTCACCCATAACTGTCAAGGAGTGTGGTTTCCTTGGAAGCCAGGATGTTCTTTCCGGAGACCCCAGCCTAAGATTACCCCTTAGGAAACTTAGGAAACTAGGACTTGGAAAGCAGAGCCTGTGAGAGTCTCCATCACGGTTCTGACTTTGTGAAATGCCTTCGTGATGTAACCCGCAAACTCCCACGTTCCGATTTCATATGGATGAGCAGTCGGACAGAGTGTTCCTTAGTACATATTTTAATGCATATTTATGTGCTGTCTTGTTAGTAGAAATAGAAGTTTGTAAAGAACTTTTGATTTCAATGAGCAGTTAGTGCATTAAAAACCTGGGAACCTTTGGCTATACTTTGCCTTTCTGACTCACTCATCTTCCAGGAATTAATAGGAAAGTCAGTATTTGCAGAAAAGTGGTTAGCTTGGCTGAAACATACGAAACACCCAAAACCCACAAAACACTTAGAGGTTTAGGAGAACATTTTAATGCTTAAGAGGCAAGTTAAGTGAAAAAGTTGTAGAAATCAGAGTCCCTGGCTGGGCAGTCAGGAGAGCAGGCTGCAAATGCTGTTATTCACGTTTCTGTTTCTCAGTTGGAAATGAATGAGTAGCCTCGTTCCCATCTCTCCACAGGCTGGGGACGCTTCAAGCTCCTTAGATGAAGGGCCTATTCTCAGTCCAAGCTCTTGATTATGAACATTAACAAGGAAAGAACAAATTATCCTCTACAGGAGTTAACTCACTAAGGACATCTGGTGAATAAAAACATAATTTTTTAAAATGTTGTGGAGGAACATTTGTGTTGAGATAATTAGGTGCGATTGGAGTTAAAATGGAGCAAAGCCCCCAATATTGCCAGCTGACAATCATGCATCCTGCTAGATACCCAGGGCTGTTGGCCTGGGACTGAAATGAATGTGTCACAAGTGGCGCGGGAGGCCTTTTTCAGTTCATTTAAAAACATGGAGTCGATCATGTCTCATTTAAAAACATGGAGTTGATCATGCCAGCCCCCTTTCTGTTAGGGAAAAAAAAAAAAAGTACAGTGCATAATTGGTGCTTTCTACTCTGTTTTGATTTTAGGAAGGAAGTAATACTTAGATGTGGGCTTACTTTGCTTCT